GTCGAAATCAGCTATAATTTCAAATGATCGGTAAATGATCGGCAAGTGGTCGGATATTTTTTGGAGGGGAGTGTACAAGGGAGGGCCTTTGGCTAAAACGTTTTAATAAAGTTTACCCACAATCCGGGCTTATATTTTTTATTTGTTTTGCGAATGTGTATGAGTGAGTGAAGTATTTGGAATATGGAATAATTTTTTTGATCGTTGCGAAGTACTGCGCCATAAATTATCACTTGACATGCTGTACTACTCCACACGATTCAACATTTTGACGAGCCTGGACAGACTCTGCCATCAGAAAAATCTGAAATCTGATTAGCCGATCATCTGTGATTTGAGTTGCGAGGAAGTTGCGGAGAGGTGGAAGGGATCTAGGGTGACGTCCGTGTAATAAATACTATTATGCATATGAAAACCGGCACATAACCATTTTTTTTATTATTTCCGCATACTACACCACACTGTTTAAAAACGTATATTTTATTTGAAAACTTTTATTTTAATATGAAGCTTAACATAGGCATGATAATTATAGCTAACGTGACATGTAATCAATGTTTTGCATATAATTCGATTCGGTTGGATTCGAGTGTCAAGAAGGCTTCGAACGCGACTCATTCCCTGATACTTACATTCGAATCAAATATGATCCGGATTTTGCGGAACAATACTTGTAATCATTTTCAAATACCCATCACTTTTCTTGGATTGCTGTGTCCTTAAATTCAAAAATTTTAGTGTCATAAATTAAAGCGAAATCTTAATGCACTCATAAAACTTACCTGTCATACCAAGTAAACTTCTCAATTCGATCAACTCTCTATTAAAATCTTTGGAATTATGAACCACGCAAAATCAGTCCAATGTACTCGTAATTTACCCATGGATTCATCCTATTTACCATTACATTCTCCAACCTAAACATCCCATGAATCACTCCCTTGCATGTATAGCCTGTAAACCCTCGATGGCCAACTGTTTTTCCCTTTCCGTGACATCATCTAATTCCGCAAAAGATTTTCCAGAAAGCAATGTTAAAATAAAAACAAAAACCTCGTTAAGGATTCCGTATTTTAGAAGCTTCGGTGGAATATCCATAAGAAGGCCGAGATAGAACTTGATTTTGTTTAGGATTTCTTGCAACAAGTACTCATTTTTATATAAGTCGGCCATTTTAAGAACGCCTACTTTTCCGCAAATCTTGGCTTCAAAAATAACTCCAGATCGACCATTACCTAACACATCGATAAAGAAAACTGGCTGCGTTCATATCTTCAAGTTTTTCGTCTTCAATATCATCCCCTTTTTTTTTGCCATACCCCGAGTGGTTACATTTAAAGTCAATCACTTCTTCTTAGAACTCGATAAGACAGGTCATTTGTTGCCATTGTCATCGACGTCCCCTTTATTACTATCTGTATGTGATAAAGGATGTGCAGTTCGATCTCGTGTAGATAGAGTTTCATGATATACACGAATTCTAAGAATGAGGCTTGAGCAGACGTGTGGTTCTGATTAATATGAATTGCAGGAGAAATATAGATAATGTTCGGATTTTTATGATCACAGTAGAAAAAACCATGTTCGAACATATGTCGTAAGCATCGTATCGAAGGTCAAAAAAATTAAAGAAATAAATAAATTAAAAAAAGAATTTCTGCTGAATTTACCAAAGAGAAAGATTATGACAATCATAGTCCTGTTAATTCATTTTTTTTTTGTAATGGTACTATTTCCATCAACTCCACAGCCAATTGAATTGTTCACATCCAAATTAAAGATTTGTTTTGAATGGTGTAGTAAAAAGGTTACAGATCATCACTTACGTAAAAATTTGATTAATGTTTTATATTTTTAATTGCCAAATTTGGTGTATACCGTCAAAAATAGTTAATCAGCATTTATCTTTACAAATACAACAAATCTCGAGCAAATCAAGGGAAAAGTTTTGAACGGACCCTTCTTGATAAAGGTACCCTAATTAGTGATTATCAACGGTTACACGTAAAATAAGTTTAGAAATTTCATAAAGCGAGTCAAAACGGGGGCAGTTTTCTTTGTAGTTTCGCATGATACATACCCATGCATGTTCCCTTTACCATGCATGTCCTAAAAAAAATTACGCCACAAAAGATATTCTTTGAAGAAATGGCGTGTGGTGTTTTTTTTTAAAAAAAACTTCCAAACTTTTTAAAAAAGATTTTCTCAAAAGAAATTTTTTTTTATAAAGTTAATTGAAGAAAGAAATGAAAAATTACTTTGGACATCATATCCAAATTTAATTCTTTTAAAAGTTCGCAATGACCTAAATCACACTAATCACACTTATATTTCCCTTACCTAAAATGTAAATTATATAATTTACGTAATCATGTTTTTTGTAGGGTTTTTTCTCATCAGAATTTTGAAGTCAACATTGATTATTAAAAAAAATTAATATTAATAGTTATTAAACAATCAATCATTTCTTCGAAAATTTCCAATGTAACATGTAATCAATAAGTGGACTAGGGTCCTGGTATTTCTTGAAAAATATAAATCTCGCGAATTTTTCAAAATTTTTTTTTTTTTTTTTTTTTGCAGCAATAAAAAAAAAAAACGCCCAAAGACCTAAATATCTATCATATGATAAAAAGATCTAATAAACATTCCTTTATAACTCTTTGTAATTGAATCATTATATACATAAACACAATAATGACTGGTTTACAACCAAGAAGAGGTCCCTGGTTACCTCAAGTATATATTAAATAATTAAATTTTTTTTTACAATCTAATTCATTTTATAATTAATTCTTCGGATTGAATTCACCTTTACAGGAAGAAAATGATCTTATTTCGTATTTCAATGACATTGGCGCTGATTGGTTCGAAATTTCATCAAGACTTATGACTAGAAACGCTCAGCAATGTAGAAGAAGGTTTTTATCATATTACTTGTTGATTTTATTGTCAAAAAAAAAAAAGCAATTATAACAAACAGAATTTTTTTTCTTCTTTTATATTCATTCGTAACAAAATTTTTTTCTAGATATCGTGAGCTTGTATTAGCAAATGGTAATTAAAAAAAAAAAAAACACTTTATAATTATATTATATTAAATATTTTGTTTGATTCCTTGCTTGATCAACGCAATTTTTATTTTACAGCTGTGCAGCTTCCACTACAAGTGCGAGTTTGAAGTCGTATATCTAAATTCACTAACCGAATATATATTATTTGAACTCAACAATTCGTTCCTTTTTAACTTAATATCTATTATTAATCTTTAGTAAACATTATCTCAAACACATTCTTTATTTATCAGCTACAAGCTTATATTCATTCTTTTATCATTTCATTTAACCAATTAGACTATCATTTTATCATTTTATGTTGATAATACTTTTTATATTTTTATTTAAATTTTTTTTTTTATACTGTATATATATAAGGTGGCAGAACCTTTGCATTCTATTTAAATAAAAAAAGAATCCTTTTTTGAACAGAAATTCGTGTAAGAAAGTCGGACCCTAGTGAAAATATAAGATATGACATGATCAATTTTTTTCCGTTACCCATGACATTAAAGGTATTTCGAAAACGACGATGTTATTTTATTATATATATATATTTTTAATTCGTTTGTTGGTTATAATTGTTTTAATTTTACTACTTAAAAACAAAATATACATATAGTATATATACAGTCAACTCTCTAAATGCACCCCACCCCTCTTGGGATCAAAGTGAAAATTTTAAAAAAGTGCATTTAAAGAGGGTGTGCATTTTAAGAGAAAATTTCTATATGATTTCTATATGCTTGGGACTGAACGAGAGCATGCATTTAGAGAGAAAATATATGGTGTATGCATTAGAGAGGATGCATTTAGAGAGAGTTGACTGTATAATCTTTTTATTATTGATTATCATCAGCAAATCAAATGGATTATTCACGTCTTATTTTATAATATAACAAAACCAGTAAAAAGGACAACCAATAATTCTTTGTAAAGTCGACCTAAAAGTTGTTCATTTTAGTGTTACCTTCCACTGCTTTTTTTTTTTTTCGCAAACTTACCTTTCAACATCCCACGACAATACTAACACAACAGTTTTTAAAAACGGTATTTTCGGATTGAATTACCATAATAATTCTTATACAATTGACATTATTCGTTTCAAAATAAAAAAATTTTTGCGACAACATTTTAATTAGTTATGAAAAAAAAAAAATAAATAAATAAATCGATCGATTAAGAAGTAGTAACAAAGAAATTTTGGTCCCGTTCGGTGGTTTTATTAATGTTATATGCATGATATTAGCTTTTTTTATGATAATTGAACAAAGTCGAAATCACATTCAGTTAGTTTTGTTCTAAAAATAAAATAAAGAAAAAATTTTTGTTTACAAACTGTAATTGGAAATGATTGAAAGAAGCATATGTTATGACTGCGCATAAGAATTATGATTTATATACTCTAGATATATTCTAGATGTTGCCAAAAGTTTGATTAAAGATGCAGACCTCTCAAGATATAATTATAAAGGGACCATGGAATATCTCAGTAAGTATCTAGCACACGCATATACAGTTTCATTGAATGGCGATTTTCTAATCTATTTCCTTTTTCTCTCGTTTTATGTTTAACGATGTATTCTTACTTTTTTTTTTTTTTTTCTTTTTGGTAGGAGGACAGGATCCTTCGTCATCTTGTAAACCAATATAAAATTCGCTCTGCAAAAGGGCAGATCTCGTGGGTACTTATTGCTAACGATATGGCAACCCGTACGGCCAAACAATGTAGAGAACGGTTTGTTGATTCATTCTTTTATTGTATTTATTAAAACATGCAAAATATCATCATCATCCTCCTCATGATCTCTTTTCTCCTTGTTAAGATGGATAAATCATTTAGACGATTCAAGTAAGCACACTTACATATGTGTATACCCCACTTAGTGACTCCGATAATAAACACGATACTATGCATATGTTATTATTATAAATTTTTTATTTATTTATTTATTTATAATTTTAATTAATTAGTCAATAAGTCCCCGTTAACCGAACGTGAACAACGATTCATAAGGATGCATCGTACCGGGCTAACTTATGCCAAAGTCGCAGAAAGGTTACCAGGACGTACTCCATTAATGGTGAAAAACTTTATCTACGGGAATCAAAATAAATTTAAAAATCAAAGATCCTACTTAAGGGTTCGTAAAAAGATGGCCATCAACAACTTATTAAATCCATAAGATTGATCGAAACCTCGGGCTAGCGCGAAAAAAAAAAAAAGGAAATTTTTTTTTTTTTAAATGGAATTAGATGAATTGGATTGGGATTGATGCGGCAACAAATGATTATTTAATGTTGTCCGCGCCATATAACGTTATATAACTCTTCAAGAATTTTTACGACTATTTTTTTTTTTTTTAAAAAAAATATATAAAAATATATATATATATAATAATTGGTTGATTATGAATTAATTATACCCTTTATAATTGAAAAATGCTTATTACAAGGTGATCAATATAAAAAGCTTTTTATAAAGGTATTAATTACATAAATTTTAAATAAAGGTAAATAATAAATCAATAATTTTTTTTTTTTTTTTTTTAAAAAAAAAAAAATGAATAATAATCATTTCAAAAATTATCCCAAATACCCGTTTTTAAAAATGTGATTTTTTTTAAAGGAAAAATGGTGACTCGTTTTACTTTTAAAATCGAGTTAAAGATCTAATATGATTCAACGTTGACTTTAAATGCCCTACTTCCCGAGACAATGTCGATTGTAATTGGTGCTTTTGAAAATCGTTTACTGTATATATATTAGGACACGTCAATATATTATAGAAGATTCAACCAAAGTCTCCCAAAACTTCAAAGACTTTAATTTAATAAGCAAAACGAACTTCAATTTTAATGTTCTAAATGGAGAGATCATGTAAATGTGCAACATCGTTCGACGCGTCAAATTGTATGGATTGACCAACCGCAGCACGAAGTAAATCTCAAAAATTGGATTACGAAAAATTTTTATTACGTCCTTTGCGCATAAAAAATGATTGCTTAAAAAAAATGGAAAAATTTTCGAATAAAATTATAATGAGCTGATTTTAAATGTTCGACAGAATTTTGAAGATATTTTAAATCTTGTCTAGAAGGTTCAAATATACCGTCTCTGTCTATACCAATGCTAGAGAGCTTAATCGAAACCTCAAACAAATATTCTTCGTAAATCATCAACATTTGTTTCAGCTTATACAAGTAAAAGGCAGTATCATTTAAATGAGATAAAACCTTCTTAACAGATCGAACATCTTCCCTGCCATTGATTGAATCAAGTACATTTACCGACGGATATCCAAAATCATTTTTTAAAACGAACTTTTCCGCATCTCTTAATCCATTAAAAAGGGAAGCTTCAAGTTTATTCCTATGGCGTTCTACCAAATTCATGGAAGAGTTTGTCGGTTTAAATAATGGTTGAAAATTTTGAAATTCGATTTTTAAGTAGGTTATCTTATCATATAAATATTTTTTATCATCTCTCTTAAAAGATGAATCCAAAAGAATTCGATTCATCATTGTAATAATTACTTCGTCGAACGTTGTAAATAAACGTATCCCTTTATAGTATAAGTTGTTTAAATTTAAACTCGCGTCCAATAATCTATCAGAAAAATATCGTAATTCCTCGGATATATGAGAGTGTGATTTAAATGCTGGACTTGTCTCCAATATGTTGGCAACGCGACGGTATGTTACGATATTATCCAAGATCTTTTTCAAATCTAGTTAGGTTTGAGAGAAACAAAAGCAAATTATTTTGTTCATTCTTTCTTTTTGAGATAAAAGGGATCTTTTTTTTAAAAAAAAAAAAGAATTTCATATCATATTTGCCTGGAATTTCATCAACAAATTTACACGTGGTGGTATAAATGAATTTCTCATCCGAGCGGTAATTAATTGTAAAAACCTACTTGCACGTAATTTAAAAAAGAAAAATTAAACAAGGGATAAGGTGAGAGATACGCGTATGAAAGGGAAAAAATCACACTTACGATACAAGAAATAAAAAAAATTAACAATAACAATTTAAATCCATGTTTATGTAATTTTGCCCGGAATAAATTTTGGTCATGACTTCTTATTTTTATTTCATCATTTCCATCTAAATTTTCCTGATGTTCTCTAATCTGGTTGTCTAAACCAAACATTTCATTATTTTCAGAATTATCGGTGCTTATATATTCCTGAGGTCGTCTTCTTTCTCGAATATGCTTGTTTAATTCAGGCATTTTTTTTTTTATAAAGGAAAACAATGAACTAACTTCATGCCATGCAAATGATTTTTTAAGTGCCCAATTTTTAAGAATTCTCAAGAAAGAAAAGATCATCGGATTATATAATTTTTCTAATAAATACTAATTTTTGGTCAGATCTACTTGTCGAATTAGGAAAAAAAGTTATTCTAATATCTAACCTGATAAACCTTTTCAGTTTAAAATTCATGTGAAAAAAAAATAAAAAAAAAAAAATTTTTATAATTGTTAATTATTATCATAGAACCGTTTTTATTCTGGTAAAGAAGTGAATATAAACCGAACACCTTTATTTATCGCTTATTGTTAAACAAAATGTACACTATATTTATAATGTAAAAAGTACAGAGTTTTTAAAACAAAAGAATTCCGAGTTTATTTCGATAGATTAAGGATTTACATCAACTTATATTTTATAACAATTTATACCCATCAATATAAAAAATGCGTTAATTGGAGATTCCAGCCTTTATATCAAAGCTTTGATGATAATCTTTCAACTTATCAACAGAAATTTTTAAATAATTAAGATCTGGCTTCGTAACTTCAAATATGCCATATTCATAATCGGTGCCAGGTTTGTCAAGACTAACCTGAAGGTCCAAAAGTCTATCCTCATAAGTCATTAAAAATGTATGCATTTGCATTAAATTACCAGCAGTATCTTTTAAATGAACCAAAATTTCATTAACCGTCCCAATTTCTTTGTGAGCTCTAACAATATCAACACGATGTTCGTCGTTTTTAGTAACAAATTTTTCAGCTTCTCTCATTCCGTCTATGATATAACCTTCGGCAGACTGTCTAGTATCTTCCGCGATTTTAAAAGCCATTTGAGTTTTACCAACTACTTTCCTAAAATCTTGTACCTTTATGATTAAATTCTTCAACCTTTCCTTAAAGTATTTAGAATCACCTTGTCGTGCATTGGATCGTAGTCGTTGCATCATCGCATCAACTTCTACATCAAACGATTCATATAACGATGAACCTTTGCTATTCATGTTTCTTAGTCCACGACCGGCCAGAACGATTTTCTCTCCAAAGCTAACAAGGCCTGATGATATGTGGACACCGTAACTTTTAAATGCTGGACTATTTCGAATCATATTCGCAGCTCTACGGCATGCTACAACATGGTCAATAACTTTATCTGCGGCTGTACGATAAAGTTAAAGTTAATAAGGTTTTTTTTTTTTCATTTTGAAGAAGCGCGTTTAATAAATGAATTACCTGGAAGTTTAACACTGTCGATGTCACGAGAGATTCCGATGATCATATTAGCAAGATTATTGAAAAATCTTGAAGGAGGTTTGTCTGGACCAGGACCAGGTAATAGACCCTATTGTAAAGAATATACTTTAAAAAAGGCTCATCGAAATATCAATAAAATTTGTTAAATTATACTTACAAACACGAGTGCGATAATTAAAATAGTTACACCAAGATACCGATACTTGTGATCATTACCGTTAAAAAATGAAATGACACATCCTAGATAGTTAATCGACTTATTTCTTTCTTTCCTATCCTAAATAAAAAAAAAATGAACGTGTGAATAGATACACCACGAAAAATCATTTTGAGGCGAATCCGTTACAAGCATGATTACATACTTCAGAGCTATTAGATTCATTTGTATCGGTACTATGACTCTCGTTGGATTGAGCCCTATTGTTCTAAAGGGAAATGAAAATGTGCGAATAAATACCGCGTAATTTTCTCTGTTAGAGGTCTAAAAAGAATGTTTCGTTATTGCATACATTGACGCTTACAGGTCTGGAAAGTACATACTTCTAAAAAAAATAAAAAAGTATTCTCAGTCCGAACCGTTATTACGAATTATTAATAACAACGACAAACCTTCTTAGTATTCTTATCAGTAGAACCCTTGTTATCTAATTCCATCATATTTACTTGAGAATGTTTTCTTTTTTTGAAGAGGGCGGATTATAAAATTTTTCTCATCAATTCATAGTTGGACAAACTAAGCTTAACCTATTTAAAGAACTATTTTAGCCAGCTTTCAAGTATGGATTTATTACATAAAACATTTGATCAAATAAATAATTATTAGACTCGGTCCAGGCTCGCATTATACTAACTAATTGTTTTTGAAGAATGGTTTGGCGTTGGTTAATTTTTCCATAAAATAAATTACATGATATTCATTTACCATCAACCTAAATCTATCTGGTAAACGTGGAATCCCATTTTGCTTGTACAACAAATTTGCTGCGTGGTATTCATTTATTATTATTTTCATTTTGCAAAATGTAAAATGCAAAAAAATTTTATGAATCAGGGACGAGTTAAATTTTTTAAAATTTTGTTATTATTTAATAAATTAAAAATTATTATTTTAGTATTATGTGTAAATTTATACTGTACTTAAATAGACCAAAAAGGGAAGTTCATAACGTTATGAAAAATCTAAAATTATGCATTTATCACATAATTATTCAATTAATGTGGTATGATGCAATTAAGAAAAAATCGCATTTATGACTTTCTAAAATCGGTAAGTTAAATAGTTTATATTATGCAGAGTCAATTGAAACAATTGGACATAGGAACCAAACATTCAATTGGATAGTCAAATCGTCCAATTAAATCAATTACTAATGCCAATTTTTTCGTCAAAAATCACGAAACAACAAAATAAGCAATAATTGAACGTCCCGAAGGTCGGGGCGTCAATTATTGTCACTTTGCACTTAAAAATAAATTACTGATTTACACAAGGTTGATGCTATTATTAACTAGATATCTTTTTTTTTTAAAGATATTCTTCATTCATGCAATTCAAAATCAGATCGTTACGATTCTTCAACAAAATCTCCCGAAGCAGTAAAATTTGGGTTGTACAAACGTGTATTTGTTGTGTGTTCCAATTAGTATTGTGGTTTATTATAAGATTTTCTTGTCGTTTTGGGGATTGTCCCATCCCCATTTTTTTTTTTTTTTTTAAAAAAAAAAAGGATTCGAAATAAAATCGGACTTTCAATTTATACACCGTAGAAAATTAAAAATAATGATTGATGTCATAAGAAGATGATTTATTTTATTTTTTTTTTAAAAAAAAAAAAAAAAATCCTTTGCTCTTTCATGTCGAATACCATTTGTGATTTTTCAATAAAAATAAAATAAAAAAACCATGATGGTATAACGGTATGCAAAAAAGGTTAAAAATATTTTACACAATCAAAAAAGCTTATTTTTTTTCATTGATTATTATTGTTTTATCTATTGTTTTATTGTTTTTGACAACAATGATTTCTAATGTGATATAAATTGTTATTTATGTATTGTGTATATAAACAAAAAAAAAAAATAAACTATTATATGTTATTTATTATACTTTTTTTTTTTTTTTGAAAATTTTATAAATTGATCCGATCTTCAAATGGATTTTTTTTTTTTGTTTTTCAATTAATTATTTCGTTGAATATTTATTTTTCATATTTTAGCCGGGAGCTATCCTTTTTAACGTCAATAAATCTCTCGTTTTTTTCCTGCAAATATTAACCATGGATCAATTTTCAAACACAAATATTTTCATCATCTCGTCTCAACAAATCAAACCTTCCTTTTTCCTTCCGAATTCAACAAATTCCCAAAATTCTCAAACCTTTTCACTTCCAAAATCATCCTTGCTTCTAAATTCCTTTGTACTTTCTTCAACATTACTGTTAACAACTTATGTTTTCTTTATAAAAAATAAATTTCTCAAGAATAAACAACAAAGGGCATGGATTCTAACATTTACTACGTCAATAATCATGTCATTAGGGTCAATTCCATTCGTATATCAATTGATTTTTAGTGCTAATTGGAATGTCAACGATCTTCCCAAAGAATCAAATTTGTCTATAGTCTTGGTTGGATTCTTTATGACCTATTGTATATTAGATTTATTGATTGGCAGATTCTTTTATAAACATGAAATTAGTAATGTTACGAGTATGAAAGGTTATTTACATCATTTGATTCATCTTGCAATATCAGGATTTGTCATTTATAAACATCAAACTGAAATTTTTTGTTTAATGTCAATTTTTGAGGTATTTACAATTTCCTTTTCCGCTCTCATTTTTTTTTTTAAAAATTTATCTCGTAATTAACCAAAAAAAAAAATTATTTATTAGGTTTCAACTCTTGTCCTGGCGACAGAGAAATTCAACAACAAATCATTAAAACAAGAAATTTTATATGTGACAACCTTCATTTCAACGAGATTATTATTTCACGCAATGATGATTCACCTTTATTATAACTACCATCCATCAAAATCGACTTGGTTAATATTAGCTTTACTTTATCCTCTTCAATGTTATTGGCTTTATGGTTATATTAAACAACAGCTTAATATGAGGAATCAACGCAAGAAACGTTCTCAACTTAACAAGATTCTTTATAACAATCAAGAATTAGAAATGGTTTTAAACTCTCTTATGATGAATATCTTGTGAAAATTAGAAAAAAGCTTATTATCGTTAAAGTGTGTGATGCATGCAAAAAGTAATTAATTTTTTTAAAAAAAAAAGTTTTATTATCAACTTTGGTTATCTCTAATCCTTTCAATGATTTTTTTCCTTGGTCTTTTTTTTTTATTTTTTCAAGAAATGGGTTATATAGGGATTTAATGTATATATCGTTTATTCCGGTTGTTGTAAATTTATTGTAATGTTTTTTTTTTTTTTCTTCGTTAGTATTTATTATCTGTACAGCCAATTAAATTGTTGTTTATTATTGTAATTTAAAAAAACTATTCATGTTGAATGAAATATTTTGAAGTGAAATTTGTCCATATATTTTAAATCAGATCGATAACGTTGTAAAAATGCCGTTAATTAATTCCGATTGAAAAAATTAATATATTGTATTCTATTATCGTACTCACCCATATGATGTCGGACGATCTCGTTTTTTATATTTTATGTGATATCACAAAAAATTAACATATTTTAAGCAAATATAAATAAAATAATGCTTTGATTAATATTAGTATAATACAGAATTAATTAGCTGTAATTTTTGAAAATTAGTTCTTCTAATCCTTGCGGTTAATTTTGAATATCATTTAGTATCGGAAATGGTCGACGAAAGTGATGTTGTAATATTAATGATTGTACCTTCATTTTTATATTTGGCAAAAAAAAAAAATAATAATTAAAAATAATCGAAGATGTATTTACCTTTAAAAAATTTGTCATAGCTTGAAAGAATTTGATAGCATGGATATCATTTTAATTGAGGAGTCATTGAATTTTGCTTTTTATTTAATAAAGCACTTCGTCTTCTATGAGTATAAGTTTGTTAGTATTTCTTTTTAGTTCTAACAAATAAATCATATTATTATTAAGCTTATAAAACAAAAAGTAACAAAATTACCTTTTTCGAGTTTTCTTAAAAGTGGTTCTTCTATAAAATAATCTAGTGTAAATGACTTGGATCATCAGACAATAATTTTGATATTAATCGTTGCAAAACACAATAACATAATTATTGTGTGAATTTTATTGAAGCAACCATTTTGCAATTCACGTAAAAAAACTACTTCAATTTATTTTTTAAATAAATTTGCTAAAATATTATACATAATACTGTATATGCTAATTTTATACACATATTCATATTATTTATAAGTAGTAAATTATCAATTTATTAAATTTTGAATTATCTACTTCAAGAATGGTCATGGTCGACCGATTGATAGTAATACGCTGTTTGAATAAAATGTGGTGAAACTCATATTTTATTAATTATTATTCAATAATGTACATAATAATTAGGATCAAAATTTTAATTAATTAAACTAGATATAAACCAATATTTAGTTAACCATCCATTATTGTTAATATATGCTTCAACTCTGCTAGCATATTTTTGATTAAATTTATTAAAGTAGCATTAGGAAGTTGATTCTATTCTTCATGCAAAACACTTTCTAATTTCTTTATATATATATATATATATATTACAAATCTAGGATGTTTTCTAATGCATCTTTCTAACTCTAACTTTAAATATTCAATTAGATTGTTGTCTTAGCCTTATCTATTAAAATTATTATTAATAAATGAAAGCAATGTGGCTTAAATATTTGAAGATAATTACAATAATTCATTTTTCTATCAACTTTAACCAGTAGTTCAAATCCTTTTACAGAAAAATAACCCATATTATTAAACTTTTTTAATCATATTTTTATTAAAAGAATTATGTTATTAATATTAAACTTATTTTATTAGAGGTGGTAGAGGGCAGTGAGAGAAAGTGAAGGAAGTGGAAAGCAGTAGGATAGTGAGGTAGTAGGATAGTGGGTGAAATGAAATGGGAAATTGCTGTATATAAATTGGAAATTATTTATTAATATTTACTTTTCTAGAAATTCTTTATATATGATCTGAATTATTACTTTTAAATATCATAAAACGGTTTTATCATTTTAATTGATTAATATTCATTTCTAATAAACTAATATTTTTTTAATACATCAATTTAATTCTTTATTTATCATTAAAAAGTGGTAAAATACTAGAATATGAGAAAAAAAATATTAAGTTTTTGCAAATTTTTTCTTATAATTTTAGTATTTTAATTTTTTTAAAATTTATTTTTTATTTATTTAACTAATTGATAATTATTTGCTTTAATAATTTTTTTTAGTATTTTTAATGTTTATAATTCAAAAATTTAAACATTTTATAGTTGAGTTTTAGATTTTTTTCTTTACAAATGCTTGAATAATTTAAAGAACTATTGTTTAAAAATATTAAGTATTTTAGTAATAAATGCAAAACTAATAAATCAATTACATTAAGATTATATATAATATAAAATCTTATTTTATCAATAATATTTAATATTAATTTATTAATAAAGAAATAATTATATTATTTATATAGATCATAAATTAGAAACGTTAATCAGTCTTTAAATAATCTTTACAATTTAAAAGATTATTATTTTTAAAGAAATTTAATTACTTTTATAATAAGTATCTTTTATCAAAAAAATGTCAAAAATATTTTATAATTAATTTATAAAAAACAAAAAAGATAATTAAAATTAATAATTTTGATGAGATCGTTAAGTATAGAATCAATCTTAAAGACCTAGTCCTAAATTTTAAAATTTAAATTTTAAGAAATTCTGAAATTCTAAGAGGATTTATTATTCATTTTCATTAAGTAGTTTATTAAAATATTATAATAGACAAATTTAATATTAAATTTATAAAAATAATTTTTTATAATTTTCTTGAAATTTTAGAACTGTTTAAGATTACTTAACATTTTATTATAAACTATCACATATTAAAATTTTAACTTAAATTATTATATATATTTTTAAAACTTAGATATAATTTCTCTTATTTAAATAATATGAGTACTTTACAATAAAAAAGGAAGAAACTATCAAAACATTTTTTTTTGAATTAATATTAAATTTGAATTTATTTTACTAAAAAAATAATATTTAGCTTATAAAGTAAAAAATTCTTTAATAATTTCTTTTTTTTTTATTACAATGCATTCATATATAATTTAATAATTATTAGTTTATTAAAAAATTTTTAATTAAATATTAACTAATTTTTATTCTTATATAAAAAAAATCTTTTTATTTTTTATTTATATATTTAGTTTTGATTATTTTTTTATATCAATTAAGTTTTTTATTTTATATAATATAATATTATTATAAACTTCAAATATTTTAAAAGATATTTAAATAAAAAAAATTATATATTTATTTATTTTAAAGATTGTTAATTTAATTAATTAAAATATAATAATCAATCAGTTAGTCAAAATTATTCAATTAACTTATTAATTAAACTAATTATATTTATAACTAATTATATAATTTAAAAGATAAAATGATATAAATTGCTAAAAAAAAATTAAAAAATTATATATAAATAAAATCTATATTTTAGAATACTTATTATTAGTATTAATAGAAAAAATTTAATAAATTTTATATATATTATAATATTAAAACTACATATAAGTATTATTCAAAATTCTAAAGGATATATAATAATTATAAAAGTTGAAAATAATTTATTAAAAAATTAAATTATTAATATGTAATTTGAATTTATATTGATTTGCAAATTTTTAAATATGTAAATATAGATTGACTTATTAAAAAAACAAATTAATAAATTAAAGATAAAAATGCTAAATTAAAAGATAATTAACTATATTTCAAAGATTAAAAAACAGAATAAAATAATAAACTTTAGTAAATTCAAAAAAATAAGTTTTTCTTAATATTAATTTGAATAGTAAAAAATATAAGTTTATTATATTAAATTTTACTATTATTTTACAATTAATATAATATATTTATTATTTATTTATTATTTATTAATTGATTATTATATGTTATATTATTTCTTTATTGTAATTATTTATAAAATTTAAGAGCAAAAAATTTTAATTAAAATTAATAAATTTATTTATTATATGTTTTATTAGATTAAAAATTTTGATAATCATTTATTAAATTAAGAAAAAATCATTTTTTTATAATAATTATCAATATATTGAAAAAAAATCATTATTGATTTATTGTAAATAAATAATTATAATTAATTTATATTAGTATTTAGTATATATAATATCAGTTATCTTATAATATTAATGATTAAAAATTAGTATTGACATAAGATTAATAAAGGGATTTAGTTTTAATTAATATTTTAGAAAGAGTTCTGAAGGGTTTACAAATAAATATTAATTTTAAAAATAGTTTATATTAAGAATTAACAATTAGAATTTTATTAAAAGATAAAGAATTTGATACAGTTATATTTGTTAACATATTAAAGTTATTAATATTTATCTTATTTGTAATTGAATTCTTTAAATTATCTGAGATTTCTATTATTAACTAAGTCTTAAAGCTATTCTATTTATACTAAATTTGCTAATATGATTAATTAAAATAATAATTTATTACTAATATAAATTAATTAATAATGTTACACAAAAGAAGATATAGATGATGATGATCTAAAGGATGACGTTAATCTCTAAGAAATTATATATGTCTTCTATGTCATCTATGTCATCTATAGCTTATATTTCTTTTATACAATATATTTCTTTTATTTATTTTATCTTATTTATCTTATATATTTATTATATTTTATTTAT